ATATATCTCTTATAAGTACAAATTAATTTTAAAATCAAATAGTATTAATTAAAATGAAATTAAATATTTATTGATTCAATTTTATTTTCTTGTTCTGATAAGACAGCATAAAATAATATTAACAAGAACAAAAATGATTATTTAACATTTCAAATATTGAATAACAAATGAATGTTATTTAATAATTTAGTAATCATTAGTCCTTATTTAATAAAATATAACTAAAATTGATATTTTATCATTCTTATATAAATGGCATTCTTTCTATTATACAAACGATTGATTTATTGGTAAATGAAACTGGTTAATTATTAAATCTATTCATTTCTTTTATTGTTGGTGTTGGTTTTCATTGATTTTTTATTCATTTATGTATTCTGTTATCCATTCTTTTATTTATTCATCATTGTTGAATATTTCATTTAGAGTTATTTCAAATGCATTTTGTTGTTATCTTTCACTTTTATTCAAAACATTATTTCATCTAACAATGATTCTAACAACAAATAGAGAACAACACCATTATCAATTCATACTAATAGTCTTTATTCAATTTAATAGTATTAAAGAATAGAAAATGAAGTGAAAAAATAAATGATAAATAAACAAAACAAGAAGAGAAAATAACAAATAACATCAAATAAATGAAGGATTAAAGAAGATTAAAGAACAATAGAAAGAGAAGAAAGAATTAAAATGATATGATATGAATAATATAACGATTTATTATTTAATTCATATTTTTATATTTCATTATTATTTTATATTTATTTATATTTATATTAACAAAACAAAACAATTAAATAAATACTAAAATGAAATAAATATCAACTTTTGTTGTTCTTTATTTTCTTTTCAATTATATTCTTTTCTTTATTATTATCTTAAATTCATTGTTATTTCTTCTATACCCTCCTCTCATTCCTCGTGTTCAACGTAAAACTGTTATGAAAGTTTTAATTAATTTATTGCTTGGTCTACTTCTTTTATTATAATCTTTGATATTAGTACGTTTGGTTGTAACATTAATTTAATTCTCACATATTTTTGTACCACTTAAATTATTGACTACTCGTTCTCTTGTTTCAACTAAATCTAATTCAATCTACGCACAATCTTTAGACACCTTCACTTTTTGTTAATGGAAAGTGTTAAAAAAACATTTCCAACAGTGGAAAGAGTTGTTGGAGTAGTTCTTTAGTAGTATTTGGATCAAGATTAGTGACACAGACTGATCGATTATTACATTCTTGTTATTCTTCTGTTGGTTGTTGTTATCTTCCATTGTATTTATTATTATAATTAACATTTATTCTTTTTGTTGAATAATTTAATATGCTATTGATGACTTT